ACTCAGTTACCATCAGAGGTGACGCCATTATCTCCGGCACCAGAGGGGCTGTTGAGACTGGGGCCTTCACCCCTACCAGCGAGACAGCTGTTTTGGGCACCACCACCTTTAGCAGCCGAGCACTTACTTCTGCTATTGGTACCTTCGCTGCCACAGGCATTCTTCGCAGTAAAAGACCTTTCATGTGTCCCTTTCCTGGTCTCTCCTTTGTTGCATCATCCAGTCCCAATCTCAGTGGCCTCTACTTCAGCAGCACTACTGGCACCATTGACTACGGTTGCCATGGTACTGCCAATTCTGTCCACTTCATGGGTGTATGTACTGCATCAGCTCTGCGGGAACTGTCAATGTTCACTCGTTTATTTGCATTCCGACTACCTCGTCCACCAGCACTGTCAAATTCATCATCAACCTCAGTTCCTCTGGGATAACACCAGGTGCCGGGACTTCCTCCTGTGACTGCTGCTCCTTTTACTGAAGAGAGTTACATCTCCTCTTCTTTGGACTTTGAACATGATAGACAGTCGCCTGGACCCGTATCTCTGTCATGATCATTCAGGTGTCCAGACCATCAGTGTTCTAAAGATTTCCCAAACTCTAGAGCAAGATCTTTATTATAAGGCTGCTCCAGTTTGGAATTCTCCATTGTGGGCTGTTAAGATTGGACTGTCCACCCTGGCTTTTTTGGGCCCCTTGGCCTGCTCTTAAAATATCTAGACACCTTGTTGGTTACTCAATCCAGAAGAAAGTCACCTTCTCCAGTTCCTATAGTGCCTAGGGTTGACGCTTCTCTAAGCCTACAACCTCTCTTTAACGGAACCCACAGACGAAGAAGAGACCGGGAAGGAGCTTTTAGCTGTGGCCTACCTATATCTCTTCCTCTTCTCCAGATGAGGCCATTGCTCCAAAGTCAGCATCACCTTCTCCTGAGGACTTCAGAGTTTTTCAAGATCTAGTTAGGAGAGTGGCCGTGTCTTTGGGAACACAAGCGGAGCTTATGCAAGACAATCCTCATGCACTATTTAGACGTTTTGCAAACTCCCACTCCCGAAAAGATTGCCCTTTCCAATAATGAAGCTTTACTGGAACCTACAAAGGCCCTTTGGCAGACACCTGTCTCTGTCCCATCCATTGTGAAATCGGCGGACAAATACGCCTAGGTTCCTCAGCAAGAATTTGATTATTTCTTTACTGATTCCATTCTAGACTCATTAGTGCTCACAGTGGCTAATGAGCATTCCAGGCAGCCTCACACTAAGGCTACCTCGAAGATTATAAAAAGCTGGATCTGTGTGGCAGAAAGGCATAGACCATTGTGAACCTTCAGATAAGGGTCTCAGATTGTCTGGCATTGTTGTCCAAATGTACTTTTATTAACTGGACAGCAGTTTTCCAAATCCATGGACAAACTGCCTGAGGAATACTGGGATCGGTTCTTGGCCGTCGTTTTTGGAGGGCATGTCGCTGCTCATACTTCCCTCCAAGCAGCAATCGACGTGTCAGATACTGCATTAAGTTTGATGGCTACAGCAGGCCTCTGGCATTCCAAGATTCCAAGAGAGATGCAAAATGCAATAGAAGTTGTACCGTTTGAAGGGGCTCAACTGTTCTCTCAGACCGGTGATGCAACATGCACGGTAAGACTCTTTTGTGTGAGCCTTAGGGCTGGTCTACATTGGGTGGGGGGGAGATTGATCTAAGATACGCAACTTCAGCTACGCTATTCGTGTAGCTGAAGTCAAAGTATCTTAGTTCGACTTACCTGGCCGTCCTCACAGTGGCAAGTCGACCGCCGCGGCTCCCCTGTCGACTCTGCTTACTCCTTCTGCCGAGGTGGAGTACGGGTGTTGATTCGGGGATCGATTTATCGCGTCTAGACGAGACGCGATATATCAATCCCCGATAGCTCGATTACTACCCGCCGATCCGGCGGGTAGTGTAGACGTGGCCTTAGTTTGTTGCATGTATACACCTCGGTAACAAAAGAGGAAGCAGGTTAAGCCCCAAACAAAGTACAGGCCCTAATATCAGCAGAGACCTCTAGGAGGTCTAAAACTTACAGACAATGTTGGTGGGTGATGCCTAGAACAGGCACTTCTCACCAGACTTCAGTGACTTTGAAATAGGCGTTTTGATGCACTGTCTAGGACAACGTACGAATTGTGACTCATCTCATGCATTCAGACCCCCTGTTTGGGAGGAACAAGTGGGTGCTCGGCATTGTAAAGTAGGGATGTGTTACCCAATTTACCACCCTCCCCTTCCCCAACTCATCCTCTCTGCTCTTGTTCAGGGACCAATCTCATGAGATTGTTTTTTAGACCAAGAAGTACATTGATGAACATTGGGAACAATAGAGGAAGTTCCTTATCACAGAGGGAAAGGTTTCTATTCCTGTCACCTCCTGATTGCCTAGAAAAAGAGGCGGTCTTTGGCCATTCTGGACTTAAGAAAGCCAAACAAATTTATCAAGACAACCAAGTTCTTTCCAAAGCTTTATTCTTCCAAAACTGAAGAGAAGCTCCATTTCTTGGGTATTGTGGCATTTTACCTGGACCACACACTCTTTCAGATCATCTCCCAGACTACTGGTAGTCTATGCTGAGATGATGACAGGGCAATCTGTTACAGCCCAGCCTATTTCACGCTGGATTTCGCACTGTATCAAGCTTTTCTATGATCTGGCAAAAGTCTCTCCTCAAATTTGAGGAAACAGCCCACTCCAATAGGGCTCATTCCACTTTGTCAGCCTTCTTGAGCTACACCCCTATAGCAGGCATTTGTAAAGCTGGAACGTGGTCCCCCATGTGTGCCTTCTCCGGGCACTAAGCTATTACTCAAGCCTCTCAGGATGGCGCCAGATTCGCCAAGTCGATGTTGTGGTTTCTCTTCAACTAGTCTGAAGTCCCTCCACCTGTATAGCAATTGTTGGTGAGTCTCCTACCGTGAAATGTATATGTGCACAATCACTTGAAGGAGGAAAAAATGGTTACTCACTTGTACAGTAACTGTTGCTCTTCAAGATTTGTTGTTCACATATACTCCACAACCCTCTCCCCCCCCATATTCCGTTACTTCATTTTTCAACTTACTGGTGGTTTGAAGAAACAAAGGGAGGCAGCAACCACACGCCTTTTATGCCCTGGGCTTGGTGCTAGGGGTGAACGGGGTGCATGTGCCACCTATGGCTTCGGCTGGCAAAAGCCTCTGATTCAGATGCATTGCTTGTACATACACCCACACTGGAATGTATACATGCACCGTACATCTCAAGGAACAATAGTTACTGTACAGGTAAGTTCCTATTTTTGGGGGGGGGGACGGGACGGTACCATGCACTGGCAGAAGCTTTCCTTTGTGGAGACATGCTAGGATGCCTGCTACCAGTTAACTGTGGGGAAAGCGGAGCTGGAGCAGTAGTGGTTGGAAGAGGTAGGTGCAGGCTGAGAACCAAGAGGCCCCTATCTTCCCAGACTGAATGAGCTTTGTCATTCTTGCCATCTCCCTAGATACATTAAAATCACCCCTTTTCTGTGCTCTTCTGGCTGGATTCCTGGATCTTATATGATGTGGGTATGGCAGTCAGGTGTTCACAGTTTGAAAAGCCATGTGTTTTGAGTCACAGGAAGTCTCCGTGAGGATTGCAACTGCAATCTCTGTCCTCTGGGAGGCCAGGGTAGCCACCATCAGAGGGTAAAAAAAAGGAGATCAAGGGAAAGAAATATGGGACATAGATATGTGTGCCCAAATCCTCCGCTGATGCAACTCCATTTACTTCAGAGAATTTGGCCTCTATGTTCTTAAAGTGCAGCTATTCTTATTAAGTGACATGGCACCGAAAGTGTGCCGTTCTGTCTGAAAAATGCCTCTAAAAATTGCATCCAGGTGTTCCTTATTTGTCTCAAACATTTTTACTCGTTTCCAAGTGAAAAGGTGTAGGGTTTTGTTTTCGTTTTCGCAGGGGAGAGTGACGGGTTCCCACTAATTACCATTGCCAGCCCTGTAATCCTGGTATCAGATCCCAGCTTGACTGATTCCCCAGACCCCAAACTGGCATGTGCTTAATCACCAGTTCTGAAGATTATCGAGGACCGTTTCTGTCCTCATAACGCCTGCGTAAACCCATTAGGATTGATTCTAATTTGTGCTAAGGCTCTTTACACTGCTCAGAAATGTAAATAAAATTCACTCTCGCTTTTAAACCCTTTTACATTGCTCCGGCGGCATAAAGGGGCCTTCGTTTAAGCGAGAATCTGGCCAATTGTCTGTTAAATTCTGCTCTTCTTGGCCCCAGCATAAATCTGGAGTGTCACTATTGGTTTCTTTGGAGTGGTTCCTGGTTTGCTCATATGTACTGGTATCACAATTTGGCTCCATGTCTCAATGGGGTTGCATCGAGGGGAGTCGGGGGGAAATTGCTCTGTGTTGAGAACTTAGTTAATTTTGCTGATGAAGTGTGAGCCAGAATAGACTCCACCTCTCTCTGCCATAGCTGTGGCAGCGACAACAGGAATAAAAAGTAACAAAATGTCCTTGTCATGACCAGTAATCAGGATGTGATTCTGAATACCCACAGAGAGCAGGGAGAGAAGGTGCTATTTGTGGCCATCATCCGACTGTAAGGGCTTTTCGTTAAGGGCCTGATGTAATGAGGGAGGGCTGGCTGGAGTGTCACTGTAAATAAATGGGTTTCTGACTGGGTGTACCGTGGGACTGAGTAGAGAGCCCCTTGGCCCAGCAAATGTCTTTAGTCCCAGTCTCTGTCTTTCTTCTGACCCAGTTTCAAGGCAACTCACTTCTGTAGGTGTCAGAATCTTGGCACCTTGTCCACACATATTGCTGGTATGTGAAACCCAGCCCCTCATTCAGGGTAGTTCCATTATTGCTTAAGGGATTGGCTCTCTCTCTCTCTCTCTCTCTCTCTGTCCTCTTTCTTTCATTCATTCACATTTTCCCTCAAAAGCACCTCCACTTGAGTTGTTTGTCTTCTCTCTTGCCAGGATGAAGAGAGCACAGTTCGGACCCCATGACTGGCTGTCTCTTCCGGTACCAACTGGTCCTAGTTGGTTGCTGGTGGACACCCTGGAACCAGAGACTGCCTACCAGTTCAGTGTCTTGGCTCAAAACAAACTGGGTACGAGCGCCTTCAGTGAGGTGGTCACTGTGAACACGCTAGGTGAGTTGAGACTGCATGGGGATAATAAAGTTGCTCAGAGAGTCCCTGGATATAAAGAGAATGGAGATGGGTGGTGAGATGAGGCAGGGTCCTTTGGTCACATTCAGTAGGCCCACTCTCGTGTTAATGGTGCCAGTGACATTGCCCATGCAAGTACCAGTATGCCCTATGTCTTAGTCATCAAGCACCACAGGATTCACCAGATTGCAGAGATAAATGTTGAAATCTTGTCTTGAGTGGTGATTTGTTGGCTCAGGAGTTTCAGGAGAAATTGGAGAGGGTCCAGAGAAGAGCAACAAGAATGATTAAAGGTCTTGAGAACATGACCTATTAAGGAAGGCTGAAAGAATTGGGTTTTCTTAGTTTGGAAAAGAGAAGACTGGGGACAAGATAGCAGTTTTCAGGTATCTAAAAGGGTGTCATAAGGAGGAGGAGAAAACTTGTTCACTTTAGCCTCTAAGGATAGAACAAGAAGCAATGGGCTTAAACTGCAGCAAGGGAGGTTTAGGTAGGACATTAGGAAAAAGTTCCTAACGGTCAGGGTGGTTAAACACTGGAATAAACTGCCTAGGGAGGTTGTGAAATCTCCATCTCTGGAGATATTTAAGAGTAGGTTAGATAAATGTCTATCAGGGATGGTCTAGACAGTATTTGGTCCTGCCATGAGGGCAGGGGACTGGTCTCGATGACCTCTCGAGATCCCTTCCAGTCCTAGAATCTATGAATATCTCAATATCGTTTACCTCCAGGTCTCTATTTCACATGCAGCCCAGGCTGGTAGTAACCAAAACTCATTGGCACTAACCGGTTGTAATGTACACCCTATCTCAGACCAGGTCACAGCACGAAATCACCATTCCCTCTGGTTCTCTTGTGGGTGGTCTCAAAAAGGTCCAGGAATGAGTGGACTTTGAGACTGTATCCCTCTTTCTTCTTGGCCTCCTTGTATCTGTGGCTGTTCCTTTTCTCATAAAGACTTCTTGGCATCTTTCAGAGAAGAGACCTTGCTGATGCTACCTGTGTGGCTGCATGTCTTAAACCTACAGTTGCAGAGCTGTAGGAACTGTCATAGTGGATCAAACCAGAGTCCCTCTAGTCCGTTATCCAGTCTCAGACAGCAGCCAATGGCCAGTGTTTATGAGAAAGTATTAAAATGCCCTTAGTGCTCCTCCATTGTGGGGTCCTTTCCCATGAATCTTGCAGGTGGTTGGTGTATGCCTTGAGGCCTGTGGAGTCACAGCTCTAGAGGTTTAAATCCTGACCAGCACAGCTGCAGGTGGTGTTGGATCTGTAGAGGAAGGATGACAGAAGAGAAGGGAGCATGTGCACACTGAAGTGAACAGGAGAAAGTAGCCAGTTGTAGACCTTATTGCTCTTTTTTTCTGGACTCCACTAAATGCTTTCCCTGCCCCATCCCCTCCCTGTCCTGTGTGTCTTCAGCATTCCCTGTAACAACTCCAGAACCACTGGTGCTGGTTACCCCACCGAGATGCCTAACCGCCAATCGGACGCAGCAAGGAGTCCTGTTGTCGTGGCTTCCTCCAGCCAATCACAGCTTTCCAATTGACCATTACATCATGGAGTTCCGCATAGGGGAGAGGTGGGAGATATTGGACGATGCCATCTTGGGGAGTGACAATGACTTTTTTGCCAAGGATTTGTCTCAGGTAAGAGGTGGTCTGACTGAGCGCCCTTTGGTTTTTATAATGGATTGGCCCTTTGGCTGGGTTATTGATTGTGCACCATATGTATTGCAACACTGGGAGAGCATTCGGGGAATACTTTTAGGATGTCTGTCACTTATTTCCACAGTAGGGGCTAATTTGGTGTCCCGAAGTCTAGACCCAGTAAAGAACAAATTCCCTTATCAGCCCAAGGGAAGGGCAGTCCCTCTAGAACAATGTTGAAGATTCCCATTATCTGGTCTGGGGAAGGCATCCTGGTGCCTGATTTGCTTTGGTGTGTTAAATTGTTGAAGGAAGCTTCTGACTAGTGGCTCATGTTGTGTTTGATGTTGTAGGACACCTGGTATGAGTTCCGAGTTCTGGCTGTCATGCAGGACCTCATCAGTGAGCCTAGTAACATTGCAGGTGTCTCCAGTACAGGTAAGTGTCCTTCCGTCCTTCCAGCCCCAAACAACTTAAGCCCAGAGCCCAGATGGGAAGGCAGTATTGCAGTGTGGTGAGATGCAGGGTCTGATCTTGCCAGGTACTTCGGGAATTGAGGTCCCTCTGACTTCACCAGAAACGGAGTATTCTGCAACTCCCATGCAAAACTCGGTGTTATATACTGTAACAGAGCACAATATGGTACCAAATAACAGTCATAGCCCAAACCAGGGAGTCGCAGCGCACCACAGTTGTGCCACATGCACTGAGAACAGTGCTCCAACCCAGGAAATATGCAGCATTGACGTGAAAATGAAAGCTGCATACGTGGCAGCGTGATACTGCACCAGGGAGTAAAAACAAAAGCATTGTAGCTCTACAAAAGGGACTGCAACACACAGCAGCCCAAGAAAGCACAATGCAGCCCTGCATACACCACAGCACAGAGGAATATTTCCCAGTCTGCAGGAGAACCTCCCATATAAAAAATAGCAAGTTGTGATGGAAGGAAATATAATCTAGAGAAGGAGAGACGGAAATAAGAACTATGGGAATCTAAATTACACCAGCTCACAATGAGACCAATGATATCTCGATTATGCTGTGTACAGGACAAATCCAGACTAGCACTGCCCTCAGGTGGTGTTATGCAGAAGCACTTTGCTGGATGCAAGTTGCATACTTGACTTTCGTTTTTTGTTTTTTTAAAGATTAGATTCCTCTTTTGTCTGCCTGAATTTGCTAGCTCTTGGGTGTGTAGCTGACCTCAGCTTATGGCCAGATGTAATTACACAATGTCAGTTACTACTGTCTCAGCCCAAAAAGTTCTACAAGCTGGTGCTAGTGACAGGTTTACAAGCACTGATATGAACAACTAAGTGGATAGATTTAGTTGGCATAAATCATGTAAAATCACTTCCCAGTAATTGTGTACACACACTTATAAATAAGCTAATGTTAAGTTTGCTGATTCAAATCCTGCCAGATCAGCAAACACTGAACGTTGTTGGATAACTGTTCAGTGGCCTGTGAGTACTGATAGTGTGGGTCTCAGTGCATATCCAGTAGGCAGGTGTGCACATTAACTCTGGGGCGCTTACATACCACAGTGATATGTATGATGTAAGAACATGGGGTGGGGGGATTACCAGCACATTTGGTCTCCTTGTTGGTAGTCTCCTCAGAAAGACACAGGACTGAATGGGGACACAAGGACTGAATTCCCCTTTCACTCCTAGAACGATCCCTGCAAAGCTTCCACCACTACTGTCAGTGCTATGACTGCGCTCCTGTTAAGTGGATTGCCAATAGTGATGATACTCTTTTGTGATGTGGATCTGTCTTTGTTAGGCTCTGGGCTGAGACCCAAAAGTATCTCCTAGGCCACCTCCCAGGCATCTGAGAGTAACAGTGTTCACTCACTACCACTCTGGGCTGGATTTAAACCAGTAACCTAGTTGGGAAAAAGAACAGGAGTACTTGTGGCAACGGATACAGATTAACACGACTGCTACTCTGAAACTAGTTGGGAAAGGCTCTGAACCTGAGCATCAATCCCCTGAACCGTCCCGTTCTGCAACTCGTTTACATACCCTGTGCAAACCTCACTTTCCAAACCGTGATGAGGACCCTGGTGGTGGTGAACAGTTTCTTTTAGAACTCAAAGGATTCCCCTTTTTCTGCAGACATATTCCCCCCGCCTGACCTGACGGACGATGGTTTGGCCCGACCTGTGCTGGCGGGCATTGTTGCCACCATCTGCTTTCTGGCTGCTGCCATCCTCTTCAGCACGCTAACTGCCTGCTTTGTCAACAAACAACGCAAACGCAAGCTCAAGCGCAAGAAAGGTGAGCCCTGCTATTTCGTATTTTCCCCCTGTGGCATTTTGTGGTCATCTTCCTTGTCTGTGAAAAGAACAGACTAACACGGCTTCTACTCTGTTCCTTGTCTGTCTTTCTCTCGAGCGTCTTCGGGTGAAGCTTGCCCGAACTTTATCCTTCAGCTGTGACTGTTTGGATCCTGGCCCTTCCTCTCCCACTTATTCCTCACCTCTAATCTGAACAGATGGGTTAAATAAGTAACAAGTGCCAGATGTGTGCTGAGGTCTGGAGGCTCGCTTTGAGAAAACCCCAACATCTCAGCGTTGCGAGAGAAGAAGGAAGTGCTTACATGCTAGAGCAGCATGAGGGAAGAGATGCGTTCGGGCTATACGGGAGCCTCTGCCACGGTCTGAAACATCTTGTGATCAGAAATGGTAGAGGCAAGGTGGGGATGAAGATGAAATTGAGACAGGTACCTAGGTTGACGTGGCAGGGGGACCTTCCTAATGGTGATATCTGTTAGGCCAGTGGGTTTTAGGTTTGGGGATTTTTCATTCTTGGGGAGAGAACCTCCTTGCAGACACTTTCCCTTCCCACAGCCCTCCATGCTTGGTTCTCAAGTCACTTCCTTCTGAGGGCCGCCAAGAACAGCTGCTCATATCACTGGTGTTTCATGGATCCTATAGCATGAGAACTGTTGCATTTTAGACTATAGAGCGGGAGTGGCCAAGTCATGGCTCTTTTACAGTTAAAGTGCAGCTTGCAGAGCTCCCTGTGCTCCCCCCACATTCTCCGCCAACCAGACTGGGGAAGAGAGCTCGGGGCTTCTGCCGTGCAGGGGAGGGGCAGGGGGGTCTTGTGGCTTTAGCCCCCACGGGGGGGAGGGGCGCCAGGGCTCAGGGCTCAGCCAGGTGCGCCTCCCTGGCAGGTGCCACCCCACGGGGCAAGTTGTGAGTGTTTTGCAGCTCTCAAATGTCTGAAGATTTATTGTATGCGGCGCCGAGGGTCAGTAAGTTTGGTCACCCCTGCTGTAGAGAATCACCCAAAAGAAGTGGTGGAAGCCTCATCACTTAAGTTGTATAAACTGGGACAGTCCTGCCCCGCAGGGAAATTCACATGGGCTGGGGATGCGGAGTGTGGACTCTTTTATCTCTAGTGTGTATGATTTGGTGATAACAGAAAGGATAGGAAACTGTCTGGAGGAGTTTGTTGTCTGTGACTATTAAAGCACTAGATCAACCAAAATTTGGCCTCTTGTTGAGTGTCTTTTTTTTTTTTCTTGCTGTTGATTTTGTAAGATTTTTGTTGCCTCTTTCTGCCTATTGCGCCTCTTTAGCGCTCTCTCTTCTCTCCCTCTTTTATTCTTTTCCAGACCCTCCTCTCTCGATAACCCACTGCAGGAAGAGTCTGGAGTCTCCGTAAGTATCTCCGCCTTAGAGGTGCCACTCAGGCTGTGCTCTGTCTGGTAGTTTTGGAGACACCTCTTCGTAGGGATGCTGCTCGCAGGAAATTGAAATATCTAATGTTGAGTGTCTCAAATCTGCTGATCCTGGGGTCTGATGCTTTTGGTGTTCCTTAAGTCTTTGGAACAAAATAGGCTGCAAGAGACTGCCTGGCTTTAGAGCAGGAGCAGAGGAAGTAGTTACCAATGAAGCCTGTCACAGGAGATTTCCCAAGGGAGTAGTGCTGGACTTTTTGTTTTCAGGTGGAATTCATAGAATCATAAAAGATTGGGGTTGGAGGAGACCTCAGGAGGTCATCTAGTCCAACCCCCTGCTCAAAGTAGAACCAACACCAACTAAATCATCCCAGCCAGGCCTTTGTCAGGCCGGGCCTTAAATACCCCTCCAAGGATGGGATTCCACCACCACCCTAGGTAAGCCATTCCAGTGCTTCACCGCCCTCCTAGTGAAATAGTGTTTCCTAATATCCAACCTAGACCTCCCCTACTGCAACTTGAGACCATTGCTCCTTGTTCTGTCATCTGCCACCACTGAGAACAGCCGAGCTCCATCCTCTTTGGAACCCCCCCTTCAGGTAGTTGAAGGCGGCTATCAAATCCCCCCTCACTCTTCTCTCCTGCAGACTAAACAAGCTCAGTTCCCTCAGCCTCTCCTCGTAAGTCATGTGCCCCAGCCCCCTGATCATTTTCGTTGCCCTCTGCCGGAGACTCTTCAATTTGTTCACCTCCTTTCTGTAGTGGAGGGGCCCAAAACTGGACGCAATACTCCAGATGTGGCCTCACCAGTGCCGAATAGAGGCGAATAATCACTTCCATCAATCTGCTGGCAATGCTCCTACTAATGCAGCCCAATGTGCCGTTAGCCTTATACTGGCAATTTTTAAGTGGCTGCTTGAAAGAAGTGGTGGATCCTTAATGCAAGTTTCACTGTATCTAAGAATATTTCACCTTTTTGTTTTTTCTTTAACTGGGAAATTTAGAGTTTTACGAGCATCTCTTTTTTTGCCTTGAAGATTCCCCCATTTTATCTTCCTCCTCACACTCCACTAAAGACTGGATCACTGTGTCCCACTGGTCTCAACTCCTTCCAGAGACCATCAGCAGTACTCAGTGAATCTGCCAGCGAGGGTAGATAGAAACAGGGGGTGTCTTTGGTGTGAGAGTAATAGTCTGGCCTCTGATCACCTCATGTAGTAGCTTCAGGAGCATCATGCAGGAGACCTGTGCTGACCCTGATATTTGGTTTTTTTTGTTTGTTTTTTTTTAAATCTTGTTCGGCTGATGTCGTTCCCCCCTCCCCTCCTGTGGGCTCGTCCATTTCACTGAGAAGACCACACTTTTCAATTTCCTTGCCCCCATTATCTCAATTGGATCTGCTGAGTCTGTGTGTCTAATCCTGTTTGTCCCAAGACTTCTGTGTGTGTGGTGGTGGCGGGGGCAGGGCAGTGAACTCTTAGGAGCTGCCTCCTTCCCTTTTCAAGCCTTAATCCTTACACTCCAGGGTTGGGGGAAAATCATAAGTATTTTTTCTTCTCATTTTGTGAGCTGGGATCAGAAGTTGCCAAATTCCGCCAGAGGGGATGTTCTTGTGCTGTTTTTCCCCAACAGCAATCTGAAGCACTAGAAATGAAATCACATGAGGGAGAACATCTTACTGAGAGGTTTCCCAGCCTAGTTTTGCAAGAGGCTCAGATAATTCAAATGAACATACAAACCTTTGGGTACTTAGCCAAACTGAAGCTAAGCTCTGGACTTGTTTTCATTCAGACTTATGGGTCTGTCGAGCTAATTTCAAGACCTTGCAGTGGATTGCCTGCTTGAGGGGGGATGAGAGAGGAAATGTTTCATATTCTGTTTGGCAGTCGGGAGGGAGAAGTAGTGGCCACCTGTTTTTTGTCTTCCTTCTTACTCATGCCTCTGCCCAGCACGCTGCTGGGGCCTATGTTAGAACCACGTGAGCTTCTGCCATCATAATAATGCCCACACTAAATTCTTCCAGGCCTCCCTCTTCCGGGAACAATTAAGGCTTTTTCTTTTTGTGCCCAACTGGCCCGTGATCCTGCTGCGCAAGCCCCAGATTTTTCTCCTTTCCCCATGACCATCCTCCCCCTTTTTTTTTTTTGGTTTCTCTCCTCTGTGGTCCAGGTTGTCTTCCGGTAAAGTGAGTCCCGAGAGCATCCGCACCCTCCGTCCCCCCTCGGAGTCCTCTGATGACCAAGGCCAGCAGGGCAAGCGTATGCTGAGCCCCAGCAAGGAAAAGGAGTTGTCCCTTTACAAGAAGACCAAGAGGGCCATTAGCAGCAAGAAGTACAGTGTCTCCAAGGCTGAGGCTGAAGCCGAGGCTACTACCCCCATTGAGCTCATCAGCCGTGGGCCCGATGGACGCTTTGTCATGGACCCCTCAGAGATGGAGCCCTCACTCAAGACCCGCCGGATAGAGGGCTTCCCCTTTGTGGAGGAGACAGACATGTACCCTGAGTTTCGCCAGTCAGACGAAGAGAATGACGACCCCATTGTGCCCTCATCTGTGGCAGCCCTCAAATCTCAGCTGACCCCTCTCTCTTCCAGCCAGGAATCCTACCTTCAGCCACCAGCATACAGCCCCAGATTCCACAGGGGCTTGGAGGGCACAGGTGCTCTGGAGAGCCACCTGCAGGCCACTGGTCAGGCCAGACCGCCAGCCCCGAGGCCTTTCCACCACAGCCAATTTTACGGTTACCTCAGCAGCAGCAGTCCTGGGGAAATGGACCCTCCGCCCTTCTACATGCCAGAGGTCAGCCCTCTCAGTTCTGTCATGTCCTCCCCTCCTCTGCACCCCGAGGGCCCCTTTGGACACCCCACCATCCCTGAGGAGAATGGAGAAAATACTTCCAACAGCACGTTGCCCCTGACTCAGACGCCAACAGGGGGCCGGTCTCCTGAGCCATGGGGCAGGACTGAGTTCCCTTTCAGCAGCCTAGAGGCTTCTCCCATGATATTCCCTCAACAGCTCCACCAGTGCGAGGTGGCAGAGTGTGTGCAGCTGACGGCCTGTCTTCCTAGGGGCCTGCCCCCTTCCTCCCTCCAGGTCCCTGCATCCTATCCTGGCATTCTGCCCCTGGAGGCACCAAAGAGTTGGACTGGCAAGCCACCTGGCAGAAGCCAACCCTCTGTGCCCACCACCACCAAATGGCAGGACAAACCTATGCAACCTATGGGGAGTCAAGGGCAGCTAAGACATACCAGTCAAGGTATGGGCATACCCGTGTTGCCTTACCATGAACCGTCCGAGTCAGTCAGCCACAGTGGCACAAGCACATTTGGCCTGGACACCAGGTGGTATGAGCCCCAACCCAGACCTCGGCCTAGCCCTCGGCAAGTCAGGAGGGCTGAACCCAGTTTACATCAGGTGGTGCTACAACCTTCGAGGCTTTCCCCTCTGACCCAAAGCCCCCTCAGCTCCCGCAACAGCTCCCCGGAGCTGACTGCACGTGCCAGACCGCGACCGGGTCTCATCCAGCAAGCGGAGATGTCGGAGATCACCCTGCAGCCCCCCGCGGCAGTCAGCTTCTCCCGCAAGTCCACCCCATCGACCGGCTCCCCGGCTCAAAGCAGCAGGGGAGAAAGCCCCAGCTACCGACCTGCCATGGCCTTCACCTCTTTGGCCACTGGCTACCCCTCCTCTCAGTGCCCCTCCCTTCCCGGGGACAGTATGGATGTTTTTGGACAAATTCCCTCTCCGAGGAGGGCTGGGGAGGAGATTCTCAGACCTGAGCCTACACCGACAACATTATCCACTTCGGGGTAAGTGTATGAATCCTTTAGCTGCCCTTTATCTGCCTTTCCTTCCCCACCCAACCTCACCCATTGCCTCCAACTCCCTCCCCCCATCATCATCATGATCATCATCATCTGAAATCATAGGGGTTGTCTGGACACGCTGCAGCATCCCTTTTGGAGGTGACTTCCAGTTGTCATTGTAGGACCCTGCTCTGAAGAGGCTCTCGCTACTGGCACCGTTAGGACACTGCTCATGTTAGTGGGTTAAATAGGCAGAGGAACAGTCGGTCGTTCATGGTGCATTATCTCCAACAGCTGCTCTTCCCCTCGCAAGTCTCTTTGGGATTGGGAGTGTGTGTTTTCGGATGTGTGGAGAAGGGCCTGTCCATGTAAGGAACTAGATTAGGGGTCTCGTTACCTGTGCTTGTTGGGTAAGTGACCAAGGGTCACCGGCAGTTTCCTTTCTTATTTCCTGGCTCTTGACTTTCCTGGAACAGTAGTGTGTGCCTGGCTCTCTGGCTTCTTTCTGCCCTTCCCCACAAAGTCTAGTGACCATAGCGAACCACAGAGATGGCCACAAAGGTCACCGTGCCGCTCCATCTCCAAAAGCGATGCTGCAGCCCCAAGACTCGGGCGGGGAGAGGGTGCAAGGACTTAGTCCCATGAACAGCATGTCAGGAGAAGAAATTCACCCGAACGGAAATCAGGAAGCTGCCGGTATTCTCAGATCCTGCCCCAAAGAACGAGGCTGCTGCACTAAACTCCAGCGGCTGGTTTTCCAGGTACCAGGGTTGCGCCAGGCAAAGCGTCTTTCTGTTTTTCTTCTCTTTCGCTCCGTCTCTGCCTCTTTTTCTTCTTTCCCTCGTCTCCTTCGCAGCACCTTAGATCCTGTAGATGTTCTTTCCTTCCATCCTTTTGTCTTTTGTTTTAAATTCTATTTTTTCAAGTAGTGGGGTTTAACCTCTTGATCCCTCAACTCGTGGAGCTCGGGAATTAATGGCTTGAAGTAAACTATTAAGCGCAGTGCAGTTAAACTCAGTGGAGAGAGGAGCCTTGGGGCAGGCAAGGAGGAAGGACGATGTTCAAACTTGTGTAGCCAGCATTGGCTGAGGTGTAGGGAGGTTAGTGTCACATCAGGAAAACAGCAAGGTTTGGGGGTGGGAGCCTGGCTTTTCACCCTGCGGTGCCCCTTGCATTTCACTTATTCTCTCTGGTACCTGGAAGCTTTAAGTCCTTAGAAACCCAATTAGCCCATTCAGCACTGGTGTTTATTGCCGGTTTCAGGAGACCGGGTGAATGGGTCAGAGAGGGGTGCTTATACTGGAGGGGGGTCTGTAGTAACAAAATCAACCTCAAATCAATTCTGTTGTGGCTTTAAAAATATATATAATCATCTCGCGTGTGAATATATATACAACCAATCTAATATAGCCAGGACACCTTGATGAGGCCCAGCAGGTATAGGGAAGTCACAGGACAATTCTGTGTTAGAGCACTGTCGTCTGCGCTTTTATGCAGTGTTTTCATCCGCTTTGTTGATTTTTCTTTTCTGTTTCTTCCCCCTTTTGTTTCCAGCCTCGTTTGGTTTTGGGGTTTTTTTTCGTTTGTTTCTTTCCCCCACTACTTCTCCTTTGGCGTTTTTGACGTGCTGATGTGTTGCGGAGCTCGGCTCCTTGCGGGTGTTGTTAACTGCTTTGTTTTTGATTAATCTCAGCTATCTGGGCAGTGTTGTCGAGACAAGCTTCTCCTCAGCTCAATAGGTAAGGGTGATCCAAGTCCGAAAGGATGGCGTGGGGGCTGTCGGAGGGTGGCGGGGAGTGGGGCATGGAAGGGGCTTTTCCAATCCCATCTCTTCCTTTAAAGGGGAATAAGGAATTGTAAACTACTAGGACAAAACCTTTGCACATGAGGTCTCTGTGGCTTTTGGGTTTTCCCACTCAGCAGTGCCTCAGCGCTCTCACAGGTTCAGTGAGGCCTATCCACAGTCGGGATACAAGTAGAAAGACTTGGTATGGCTGTGACTTTTGTGGGGGCAAGCCTGGTAGGGTGACCAGATGTCCCGATTTAGGGGGCTTTTTCTTATATAGGCTCCTATTACCCCTTACCTCCTGTCCCAATTATTCACACTTGCTATCTGGTCATCCTAAAGCCTGGTGAGGAGGGGAGACAGCTCCTCATTCTGTATTCTGTAGGGAGGTGCATGGTCTAGTGGATTGAACAGGGTTGGGAGCCAGGAATATGTAGGTTCTAATTGCAGCTCTGCCACTGACTCGCATGACCTTGGGCAAGTCACTTCACCTGTCTATGCCTCCACTTTCCTTCTCTGGCAGTGGGGATAGTAATACCTACCCGGATGAGTGGTGAGAAATGGTCTGTGAAAGGGTTATATAAATGTTCAGTGCTATTGGAGAATTAAATCTTAAAATGCCGGGTTTATCATGTGGATACAAATAAGGGACTAACAATACAAAACGGGCACGTGCTCAGCAACACCTAATCGTAGCTCTCAGTTTGATATCTGCTAGCAAACAGTTAGTTATTTAGGACTATGATCTCATTCCATGAATTCAGTAAAGGGAACCAATACTTCTCCAATTTTATTTTAACAGCTGAGGGTTCCCCCCCTCCCCTTCATTCCCAAGATTCCTAAATTGTATTAAACTGGAGGAGTTCTGTGTTTTTCCCCCTTTTTCTTTTGCCGTTTGCAGCGGTACAGTGCATAGCTTCAGCTCATCTGTGTTAAATCTTTGTTTTGAACTGTAGTAATTCAATTACAATAGAAGCCTCACCTCTCTGAAATTTTTTTTCAATGAAACTTGGCATGGTGGCTTCAAACCCAACAATGATTACAGTGACGTAAGCAAATCTTGCAAGATTGCTCCAGGAAAATACCTCTTGGAGACTTTCTGGGGGCAGTTTCACAGATCTAGCAAGGTCCGGGCACAGAAATGGAAGAGCAAAATAGGAACTTGCTTCCAGATTCGTTTGTAGTGGTTGAGCTTCCTCCTCGTCTTCCTTTCACTGAGTCCTTTTGTGGAGCTAAATGTTACCAAGTACTAGCTCTGAAGACCAGAAGTGAAGGTCAGCTGAAGTGACACGCAGGCCAATACCAACGGCATTGGCTGCCAGGGATGCAGTGTCCCAGGCCTACTTTTATTTCCACTATCGGAGAGCCTGCATGCACCCATAGAGCAGCAGGTTCCCAGAAATTCACAGCAGCTGTCCTGTGCTGCTCATCAAAGGGTGAGATCCAGCTCCTAGCCCAAGCGTGAGCCTGTGTGACTGGATAAGACACTAGACCCAGCAGGTCTAACAGCTTAGCGAAAGCTGGAAGTGATACCCAAAGGGATACAATCCTCCTAGCTCTCTCCGAGGATTGTGATCAGGGAGACAGATGGGGATGTCTGGAGGGTGTGTTGCGGGGGGGATGGGAGGGCAATACAGAGCTGGATATTCAACCAGGGCAGAGAATGAGGTGTCGGACTGGTGGGTCTATCGCACCGAGGCCCATCTGGGTGGGGGGAGAGTGCAGAGTGTGCGACTGATAGAGGGAGCAGTGACGTCTTTACTACTGTCTCCTTTTGGAGCATTACCCTCCTAGCTGCCAACCAGACAGCTTCAGTCCTTTCCAGAGAGCTTCAGAAGCCACCGAGAGAGAGGTCCTCCTTTTGGGATGTTCTGTTTAGCCCTGGAAACTTTCTGCCCCACACCCCACTCCAGGTATCCATGGCAGACCTGAAGCCTTTTCAATCCTCTTCTCACGCCAATTCCAGGCTGAGATGTTCATGCATGCCTATAAAAGATCTCAGCAGCAGCTAAGCCGCAAAAATGTCTGCCAGCAAAGGCCTGATGACCAGGGACTGAAATGCATTTTACTCTGGGACTTGGGCGCAGAACCCATTGTAGTCAAACCTGGGTTCATTGTCAGGTTCTCCCTCAGCTAGAGGAGGGAGAGAGCCATTATCTCGAATGGGGAAGGCAGAGGGATAATAAATCCTGCACGCTAATAAGAAAAGAATCCCATAAACAGTGCAGCCAAGTAATTTCTTTATGATTTAGGGTCGTAAAATTGTCAGTGGATCAGGGGCACCGGAGTTTTATACCAGACCAGCCAGGTTTTATGCTGCAGTAGTAAAAGCAGAGAGGGGGAGGGGAGATGTGGTTTATGAGCTCTGGTTTATGAGCTCTGTGGTGGCTTACCCATCAGCAGCCGGGCACTGCTAGCAGTGTGAATGGGATCTCCGCTGTGGGGATGCATGCAGATCAGGCTGGCCTGGATGGGACAGGCAGATGGGGGCAAATAGAGGGATACAAGAGACTCTCTGCATGCAGTGTTCGTTTATATTTCCCTGGCATGGCTGGAGTGGGAAGGCTTTTGCAATATCTCTTGCTGTGCGAAGGGCAGGCAAGTTTTATTTAAGGGTGTGGGTAATTTATGCCGTGATCAAATTAGCGCTAGTAACTTTCCCTTTTCTTTTTAATTGAACCCAATGTGCCATGAACGTCTCCTAACTGGGAAGAGTTGGTTCTGTCATCTCACTGCCGTAGGAAACCCAAAAACCACAGGGAAGGCAGGCGAGCGCCTGTGCTACCTCTGCATCCTAGGCTGTCGTGTGCTGGCAACCCCAGCTCCTCTCCTCCCTTTGGACAGCACAGTCAGTACCTGGTACGCAAAGCCTCTGATGCCTCCTAGGTGCAAGTGGCAAAGCCATGTCCATTCCATGGGTGAGGAAGCTGCCCCACCCCCAGTGTGGGGGAGGATGATGACTCCTCTCGTTTAGTTTGAAACAAGTAGGTTCCCCTTTAAAGACTGTCCATGTGCTGATCCTCTGCATGTGTTTCACACCCACTCTCGCTTGGAGAAGTTGAGTCCGCTTGTCTGAGTGATTTTCTTTTTCTTTTTCTTTTTCTTCTTCTTCTTTTTTTTTTTTTAATTTTCTCACTCCTGGTTTCATTTATCTTCTTTTTTTCCCCTCTGATTTTTTTTTTTTCCCGTCCTCTCCTCTCCCACCCTTCTTTTCCTC